ACTTCAAACATTACAAATCCTCCATATTATAGGTATGAAAGAGGAATACCAAGAGACAATTACATTTATTCCCATAGGAATTCTAAACACCACAACATTAAAACACATAATAATTTTGCACGAAAAAAACCTACATCCCAACCCAAGAACCGAAGTGGCAGCCACGGGAGACGAGGAAGCCGCACGGAACCAAGGGGCCATGGCCTCGAGGCCCGGCACGGCGAAACCAGCGGCCGGCCGGAATCCATGGGGTGAGAGCAATAAAACCATGGTGGAATTCAAGGAGCCACATATGGGAAAATAAAAAAGCAAATCTTGAATTCCAAAAGCGTTTGGAATTCCAAGAGACATCATAACTTAAAACATTAAAAACATAAAAAGTACATTTAATAACTATGAACTAAAATCATAGCTAATAATGAGCTAACCCTTAGTTCAATAAATGAACTAAAGACCAGCTCATACAACAACAACAACAACAACATCAAGCCTTTATCCCACTACGTGGGGTCGGCTACATGAATCCTTTTTCTCCATTGTGTCCTATTAAAAGTCAAATTCTCGTTTAAATCTAAATAAAGAAAGGTCATTCCTAATATTTCTAACCAAGTCTTTTTAGGTCTACCCCTACCTTTCTTAACATAAGTCAATCTAATCCTCTACTCTCCTAACCGGGTCATCGCAAGGCCGCCGTTTTATGTGACAAACCATCTAAGGCGACTTTCTCTAATCTTCTTACTTCTACTGGAGCTATCCCAACTTTTCACGTATTGCTCTTTTCGTATCCTATCTCTAAGGGTAAAGCCACTCATCCACCTGAGCATCCTCATCTCTGCCACACTTAACTTAGTATTATGCTTCTCTTTTAAAGGCCAACATTCGGCACCATAAAGCATTGCAGGCCTCACTACCATCTTAAAAGACCATCTCATAAATGAGCTAAAATTTCAGCTCAATTTTGATTGAGCTAGTAGACTCAAGGGAAGCCAAAATACATATTATTTTGGACTTATGTTGACCCCCCCTTTGTCTACATCAGACCTCCCCTTCTTGCGAATTCCTTTCTAATCTTATCTTCTACTGGAGCTACTCCAACCTTTTCACGTATATGCTCATTTCGTATCCTATCTCTAAGGGTAAAGCCACTCATCCACCTGAGCATCCTCATCTCTGCCACACTTAACTTAGTATTATGCTTCTCTTTTAAAGGCCAACATTCGGCACCATAAAGCATTGCAGGCCTCACTACCATCTTAAAGACCATCTCATAAATGAGCTAAAATTTCAGCTCAATTTTGATTGAGCTAGTAGACTCAAGGGAAGCCAAAATACATATTATTTTGGACTTATGTTGACCCCCCCTTTGTCTACATCAGACTCCCCTTCTTGCGAATTCAACTCCTGATGAATTGGTTGATGATTCCCTTGAGGCGGTGCATACTGTTCATCGAGCTCCTTGAGTTTTTCACCAAACTTTTTCAGAATTTCTTCTTGCTCTTTTTCAAATTTCTGTTGTAGATACCTTTTGTACTTCTCAAATTTTTGATCACATATAAACATGTGATATTGCAGTTTGTAGAGTCGATCTTGAAGTGGATCCGTTGAGTGTCCTTTTGTAGATCCATCTGTCCAACGGGAGTGGGACATCAGGATTATGTTGATCAGATTCTTCCATGAATGAAGCCATATTTTTGGTATTTTCCATTTTTTTAACAGACTCAAAAAAGACTAAAAAATTACAAGACTCACAAAACTCTCGACAAGACTCACAACTTGACTAAACTCACACTTGACTTGACTTGACAAAACAAAACTTTGACAACCAAAATAAAATTTAACAAACTACAACTTGACAAACCACAAACCTAGGATTTCCTAACTTGCTCTGATACCAAAAATGATACGACCAAAAAATATAGGGCGCCTATATTTCTTGATCACAAAGGACAGACGGAATTCTACGGACGAAATTGACTAAAGATGAGGAAATAGACGAACAAACTCTTACATTTCAATTTAAACTAAACAAAAGAAAACTTACAACAATACAAACGACTCTTGCAAACAAAATGACGACACCCTAAAGTTGATGCACTTGGAGAAGAAAGATACAGGTGGAGTGGCACTTGCGGAGAGACGAAAGAGGTTAGAAGCCCGAGAAGAAAGGGTGGAAAGAGCCCGCAGGATTTCCGGAGGGGATGAGAAAGAAGGGTGGAAAGAGCCCGCAGGATTTCCAAGTTACCCGCAGGTTAAAAGATTTTTTTTCCAAAAATCACATATCACATTCAACTTACTTTCAAACATTACAAATCCTCCCATATTTATAGGTATGAAAGAGGAATACCAAGAGACACATTACATATATTCCCATAAGAATTCTAAACACCACAACATTAACACATAATAATTTTGCACGAAAAAACACATCCCAACCCAAGAACTGAAGTGGCAGCCACAGGAGACGAGGAAGCCGCACGGAACCAAGGGGCCATGGCCTCGGGAAAGAGCCCAGGCACGGGAAAACCAGCGGCCGGCCGGAATCCCATGGGGTGAGAGCAATAAAACCATGGTGGAATTAAAGGAGCCACATATGGGAAAATAAAAAAGGAAATCTTGGAATTCCAAAAGTTGGTTTGGATATCCAAGAGACATCATAACTTAAAACATTAAAAACATAAAAAGTACATTTAATAAAAAGATAACTATGAAATAAAATCATAGCTAATAATGAGCTAACTCTTAGTTCAATAAATGAACTAAAGACCAACTCATAAATGAGCTAAAATTTCAGCTCAATTTTGATTGAGCTAGTAGACTCAAGGGAAGCCAAAATACATATTATTTTGGACTTGTGTTGACCCCCCCTATGTCTACATCAAAATTTTACCACATTAATTTTTAGCTCATGTAGTATTCTAATCCATAGATTTGAATATTAGCTCATATCAGGGCACATGAGATTAAAATTGTTTTTCACGACTTTATATGTCACACATGTTTGTCAATGCATTAACAAATTTGTTAGAGCAATTGCATGCTTTTTAATGCACCTTCATAGTAAATTTGCATACTTTTTGATGCATTTGCACAATGTACTTTCACATTATTCAATGCATTTCAATATGTTTTGTTCATTTACACAAGCGCACTTGCATACTTTTTAAGCATTTGTGCACCTTTTAGTGATTAATTTTACCACTCTTTGTTTTAGGGTATAGTCAAAATAGCTTCTTTAATATTCATAATTTTAATGATATATTAATAAAATGTCTATGATTCCCATGAATGTCCAGGTAATGATGTAGACATGCAATAAGTAATGTGCAAGGATTAGAGGGCAAGATATTGCATGTAGAAGAGAAGATTGTACAAGGAAGATGATGTGGTGTGAAGAACATATTTTCAAAGCATTAACATATAATAATAATAATAAATATTTAATAATTATTTTTGAAGTGTTGTGCGATATTTTATTTTAATCTATTTTTAGAATAATTATGATATGTGTATATATAACAATATTAATATTCAATCTCAATTTATTTTGCATTTTCATTACATAAATATAAACACGCCGCACATACAGAAGATAAAAAATGTATATCCATACCTTGTACACACTAGATATTCATCTTGCTTATGTGTTTTGGTTTTGTATACATTTAGGGAAATTTTCATATTTCTCTCATATATCTTGAATTTTGAGCATCATCTCCTACCTCTTGGTTTTGTATCAACATTTTGCACATGCATATGTAAAGATTCATTTAATTTTCATTTATCTTGGACATCCATTTTTATGCCTATTTTCCTTGCGACAAAATCAAAGATGCGGGTTATCCAAGAATAATTTTGACCTTCCTGAAACATTGGCATAACCTATTTTGTCAAAAAGCAGCGATTGGATAAGTTTGACTATGATCAAAGCATTTCAAACATGATTTATGCGACAATGTTTCCATTGTCCATCATTTTTGTTCTGTTTATTCAAATTGAGTATGTGAGTTCTTCCTCAATAATTTTGACACTCAGGATTCTTTGATAAAATCCATTTTGCAAAAGGGTTGACGGTTGAATAGTTTTGACTGTGATTAAATATCTTAAATTTGATTTGCACGATGTCGCATTTGATTGTGTCATATCGTGACCAGATATCCCTACAAAATGAGGACGAAATCTCTAGGCATAAACTTATCTAATACAATCTCTCCTAAATTTTGACCTAGAACCACTCTCATGGAAAAAATGGGCATGAATTTTCAGAGCCCATGATAAAAAAACAGCAATTAATAATCCAATTGTGCCTATAATACTAATCACAATGGGTAATTAGAATTCAATGGGATGAGTTAAAACCATATAGTAATGAGGTAGACCAAAAGACTACTAAAAAAAGTAAAGAACATACCTCGTATGTATATTTAAACAAAATAAACAATAGAAAAATATAACTCATTTAGCTCATTATTATCTTTGCTTTTGATGCAAATGTATTTTCAGATTTCGATCACTTAAACTTTAAATTATAGAGTACAGTACTATGACAGGTGCAATAGAGATAACCTGAGCTTTTGATGGGATAACAGGTCCACACAAATTTTTAACATGTTTGATGAACCCATCTTTTTTAAGCATGCATGATGTCCAACGAAGCTCCCAGGCCAAACCAAGATGGCTCAATATCTACTTGAAGACAATGGTTAGTAAAATAAACATAGTTACAAAATACAAGCGGTGAAACATAAAGAGAAATTCATAAAACACACACACACACACACACACACACCTGAAGCTTAAAAATTGTTGAATGGATAAATTCAGCTGCTTCACAGCTAGCGTTTGATATAGACAACACCAGCGCCTAAATAAAAGCAGAATAACAGAATTAAATAGTGACAAAGTGAGAGTAAGCTTAATCACCAAAGAAAGTAAATTACAAATTCCACTAGCAATTACCTTCTTGGAACCTTCAAGTTTCTCATGGAAGTTATCAAAATCTCCCTCATGCAAAGCCCTTAGGCAGCTATTTCAAAAATCAAACAAAAAAAATAAAAAGTATTAAATTATCTGCCATATGAGAACAACAATTTAAATAGTAAAATGCCCAGAAAAAAAAGTTTCTAACTTTGTAAAAGCTATGCGAGAAACCAACAATGATACATAACATGCATAATAAAGTGCCAATATATATATATATATATATATATATATATATATATATATATATTGATGCATTTAAATTTTTGCATTATCTTTGATGTTTAGCTCTAAATTCATTATGAGGTGCAAGCTATTAGGTGAGTGGAACTTGTCTCTTCCTCTTCTTCTTTGCCTCTTGAGCTGCTGCTTTATTTTCCCTCATTTGGCTGCTGGAACCGTGGCCTTCAATGTGCTTTAATGGTGGCCGTTGGTTTCTTGTGCTTGGTTGTTGGAACCGAAATTCCCTCCTTGGATTTGCTGTGCCGTTTGGGATTTCTCTGTGCTGGAACCGTGGCCACCTCTTGGAGATTTGAGGTGCCGTTTGGAATTTCTATACCTGTGCTGGAACCGTGGCCTTTTTCCTTGAGACTTGCTATGCTATTTGGAATTTCTGTGCAGGAAATTGATGGCTTTTTCTCACTCCATTTATGGGAAATCTTGGGCTGTTTGGTTCCCCTCTCTTGCCTATATATATGAGATGTTTTGTGATGAATTGGTTGGTGAATATTTGAGAGCAAAAATTGCTATAACCTGCGGGTTCTTCTTGGAAAAGCTTGAGAGCTTTGTCCACCTTCTTCCACCTCCTCTGGAAAGCTTGCGAGCTTCTCCTCTTTCGTCTCGGCTTCTAACCTCTTTCTTCTCTACGCAAGTTCCACTCCACCTGTATCTTTCTTCTAGTTCCGTTGGTGAAGCTGTTGGCTGTTTTGGTGAAGTTGTTGGCTGTTTTAGTGAAGTTATGGGCTGTTTTGGTGGCATTTTCTGGTGAAGTTTGAAAGGACATTGGAAACCCTTTTGTTGTGGTGGACCCTTGGTTTGCATATCTAAACCTTATTTTAAAATATATTCCTACAATCGGTGCATGTGAGGAGTCCTCTTGTAGGATGTTCTAAGGATAACATTTTTTTTTTAATATTGTTTCTTTGTTAGTTTTCTTTTATTTTGGTCGTTGGAAGTTCTCTTTCCTATTCTGAAGTTTAGTTGTTTTCTCTAACCTATTTTGTTCTCTAAGTAATGTCTTAAATTTATAAAAGTAAGATTTGATTTTCTTTGTTGTTCTCTCTTTGTGCTTTGCTTTTAATTTGCTTACATCATTATTGAAAGTTATTTTACATGCCAAATTTAGAAGGGTACATCCCAAAATACCATTTTATAGACACCCCTGTCCAATCCTATTTTATATGGGAGGATCTAAGTCTTCACTTTATTTGGGGCATTCCATACCAAATGTCGAGCATATTCTATCATGGTCCTTGTAAATTGATATTTTGAAATGGGGTATTTCATGGCTCGTAATAATATATTTGACACTTTTTTTTTTGCAAGATCATGCACTACAATGGCCTCCCTCATAACCTCACCTTTGACTGGGATGCAAATTTATCAGTTGTTTTGCCTTGAGCTTAGAAAATGAATATACAAACAATTCTTCCTTTAAGCTTAACCTACCATGCCCAAATTGATAATGAAATTGTGGTGGTTACCCGCACATTTGCAAATTTATCAGTTGTTTTTTATTGTACTATTTTCTATTTCCAAACAATATTATGCTGTTGGATATCTTTCTTGTTTCACGGCATCTTTTATGTTTTTATTTCTCTTTCTTTCACGAGTGAGCAGAGCAACGATACATATAGTTACATGTACTCCAAATTGGCGGCATAGAAGAATAGACATTTTGGCTTGTGAAAGCAGTTTTTCCCTTTTATCTCTTTTGCTTCTCTATTCTCCGTCTCCCTGTTCAGCTCCTATGCTACTTATAGATCAATGATGAAGCTGGTGCAAATTTATAGATGATGATCCGAGATGAGTAAACTCTTTTGATCTAGGGATTGAGAATTGGCATTAGAGCTGACCATTGCTGTTGATGCAATTAGCTCAAGAGCTGTGGATAGAGGATGTCTAGGGGATAAGATGATTAGCTACAATAATTATGAATACTTCTCACAGGCATTTGTTGCAAATTGATTAAAAATTAATCTTTGTCATGTCCTATGACAGGATTTCGTTGGCGTGTAACATAGCTTCGGTAGGAAGAGACTAAGAAGACCATCACATCAAGGAGTTCTTAGTGTTGAAAGAAGGATTGATGTTAGTTGCATCATTAAAAAATGAACCCTTGTATCCTTCTAAGAATTATCTTTTTGACGACTCTCACACAAAAAAGGGAGGAAGTGTAAGCTTCTATCTTTATTTAGGTCACCATAAAGGAGTGTTCTTTGTTGGGTGTCGAGTCGGCAAAGATCTTAGTTGGGATTGTGCCTACTAGGGGTGTAAAAATTTGTCCCGACCCAAAACTCGCCACGGAACCGACTCGAAAAATTTTGGATTTGGGTCAACCCGTTTTCCATACAGGTTAGGTTCGGGTTTGAGTTTTTGTCCTATTTTAAAATCGTTTCAGGTTCTTGTTGACCTAAAAACTAAAAAATGACACGAATTGACTCTTGCTAACCCGCCCTCATGTTCGTTGTTGACCCCTGCTCGCACCTTTCCTCTTCCTTGAGTTTTCTCTAAAAGAATGAAATTAGGGTTTTAGGGAAACTTGAGTTTTTCTTTAGGGTTCCTTTGAGAAAAGTTTATGGAAGGATAGTGTGATGTTTTTAAACCCTAATGTGGAGTATTTTTGTGAAAGTATGGATTTTGAAAATTAGGGTTTTGCTTAAAATTTATCTTCTTGGAAAATGCCTTCACAAAAGATCTTTTTAAGGGTATGGGGAAGTTTTTATGTGAAGATATTATAGGGTTTAAGCAAAAATTTTGAGTTTAGGAGTTTAGGGTTTCTCTCTAATGAAGGAATTTTTGATCCTTATGGTTTTTATTAGGGTTTGGGAGGATTTTAGAGGCTACCTTATGGATTTTGTTTGAAATACAAGATTTTCTAATTTTGGATTTATTAAATTCCGAAAATTAGATATATTTTATTTACAATGTGAGAGTAGGAAAGGTGTTGCATGCTTAAAGATCTTAGGAATGTTGACTAAACTTTAATTGAGAGAGAATGTGAGGGGCTTTATAGAAAAACAAAACCAATGCTTGATGTGTTAATTTAACTACATGCTTTGCCTAAGGTTTACTTGGAGTGTGTGATGCGTGTAGGGGTTGATGTGTATGTTTCTTTTAGGTGTTGGACATTTGGGGAAGAGAAGTTTGTAAGGATTCTTGGCGGATCACGTTCCTTTGAGGTAGGTAAATGTAATGCCTTTAAAATTTAGAAGAAAATGCATTTATTTTCCTCCAAAGCATGTTTTATTTTATGCTCTTTAAGTTATATGCACTTTTCCATTGTCGCTCATCATGTGAATTTCCTGGATTATGGTTAAGAGGCAATGTGTTACCTTCCATTTCAAGCATATTTCTCAAGTAGTGATTTATTTATGTGTTGCACTTGTTCTTTCTAAGGTAATGAATAAAGAATGTAACTTGCTTCTTCTATCCTTATGTTATCGTGAAACCATGTAGCATATTAGGAGACATCTAACCATACGCTTGCTATGAATACTAAAGAATAAATGTATGTGCTTGTTGATGCGGAGGTATCTTTGGTAAAGGGATGCTCTTCCGAGCATTGGTAAAGGGATGCTCCTATGAGCATTGGTAAAGGTGGTTCTTATGAACCAAATGGAAAAGGAATGGCCAATTATGTTGTACCTGATCAGTACAAAAAGGATACCTCTGAGACGGGTGATTATAGATATATGTTACATTATGCCTATGCAAAACTTCATGGTTCAAGAAAAGCATTTCATGCGTTATGATAAGTGATGGATCATAAGCTCATTTAAGGAAAATGTTTAATGGGTCACATTGAGGCATACTATTTAAATTATGATTGGTTCAATGTTCTTTTTACCTATAGTATTTTCATTTATGTTCATCTCATTCATATTGTTTTCTCTAAATTTTATTTGGTAAAGCATTTGCCTATTGAGTTTAAGACTCACCCTCGTTGTGGGAATACTTTTCAGGAGGATCCAAAAGAGGGGGTTAGATGACTGATCAGCCACCGCGCACCTACCGTCGTAGGGAGACGACGGGTGGCAGGTTCTTTTGTTATTTTGTTGTTTTGTTGATAGATGGTAATAGTTGTAGACAAGATTTTGGAGAGATGTACTATTGTTTAGATTCCCATTTTGGATGACTCTCTTTGTACATAATTATTTTGATTAATGAATGAAAGAAAAAGAAAAGGTTAATGTTGGAAAAATTGTAGTGGCTCTTTCTATATTGTTGATGTTTCAATTGATGTTATGTTAAGTTTCTTTTAACTTTTACGTCCGACCTCTGTTCCCGCCTCGCATTTGCGAGCTAACCGGGCCGGGTCGTGACACAAGTCCACTCCAAAATTGAATCCTTCTTAATGAGCTATCTTTAGAACATTAATGAGCTACTCAACTTCAGCTCAAGCAACTAAGAGAATGAGCTCAACCCCAACCTTCTCCATTCATTACCAAAGGTCCCAACAACTAACCCGTGAATCAGCAGCAGCCAAAGGACCAATCGAGCCAGCAAACCAAAGGTCTACCAAGCCCCATTGATGTAGACACACAAGTAAGAAAACCAACACAAAGAGAATAATGGATAGAACTTAAACCAAACTTTATTAAAATAAAATCAAACAACTAGGACTTCAAAATTCAACAAGAAAACACTAAGAGATTTTAAGGAAATAAAGAAAAATAAAAGACACTATCCTCAGACAACCATCAGAGCGGGTTCCTCACATGCATCGAATTGTAGGTTAAATAAGATAAGTGCATAAGACTAGCAAACTGATGGTCCACCACTGCAAGATTGTCCAAATGCTTCCAAATCAACCAAGACACGACA